GAAAGACGTGGTGAACTCCTGGACTATCAGTAGACATTAAAGTAAAGAAAGGACTCAGTGCTTGAAAAAAGCCTGTTAGGCTGGGCTCTATCCCAACCAAGAGATGTCTGTCTCAGGGAGAATATTGTTTCTCTGGTTGCCACTTAAAAAGGCAGAGGTTCCTCTAATGGGAAGGTAGAAGGAGCTGGTGAAAGCTCTGAGATGGTGTCTGATGACCAGCAGAGCACTCACCTCCACACAAGGGGCGAGCAGCTTGTTCTCATAATGGAGTGCTGTTTCACAGCTATCTGAGCAGCTTGTTCTTGTTGCCTTGCTGCAGGTCGATGAAATTTACACTGTGCCAGAGGTGGGGACTGTTGTGGGAGGAACTCTGTCAAGGTAAGTGAGGCCAGACAGACAAGTGTGGGTGTGAATGGTTGCTGTAGTTCCCACAAGGTTAGAGTCACCTGGTGCAGGTGGAAGCAGTGCGAGGCTCAGTCCTGACTGCTTCCATATGACTGAGCCAAGTGAGGGTGAAGCCCTCCAGGGTGTTGGGAGGTGCCATAAGCAGGCCATTGGTCATGTGGTGGCAAGCAGGGCATCTGCTCTAAAGTTGCCAGATTAGGAATGTGACCTGTAGCGTGCTGAAGGAAGGCATTCCGAGACCCAAAGTCGTCAGAGGTTAGCCATGATCCCAAGGCATTGCTTTCCTCCTTCCTCAAGCAGGAGGAGGCAATAATGTAGAGGGCAAGTCCTCCCATCCCTGCGGAGCTTAACTGCATGTTACCCCATGAGAAGGAAGCTGTCCCTCAGTGTTCGGGAGTGATCAGAGCAGTTTGGCTACCAGCACATCCACACAGAACAGCCGTCTACTGCAGAAGCAGTGCAGCGTGGCAGAGCACGGGGGACAGAATGGCCCCCTCTGTCTAAGTGATACCTGGTATTCTTAGGAGTAAGTGTGGCTTTCGCTTCTACTGTAGGAAATCCCTGTTCCCACCAGCTTTGCATTCCTGTTAGTTGGTCCCAGTAAAGAGTATAAGGATTCTCACCTCCTTGGCCCTGGGGAGTTTGTGCAGGTTGATCTTGGAGGGTGAAATTTCTTCCTTGTCTCCTGATGAACTCGGTCCCACTCTTCTGCTCTGGGCAGTGGGATCTGCCGAGAAGGGGAGAACCTGGTGGTTGGTCCCACTGACGATGGGAAGTTCCTCCGGCTGAAAGTGTGCAGTATCCAACGCAACCGCTCAGCCTGCCGTGTACTGCGGGCCGGGCAGGCAGCCACACTGGCCCTCGGACCCTTCGACCGCTCCCTGCTGCGCAAGGTGAGTCCTGCTGTTGCCAGGTTCCTCTTTGGTCCAGTGAGCTGGACTGGAGGCTTCCTGGAGATCCCCCATTGGTAGGGTGGGAAAGAAGTAGAGATGTTTGCAGGAAACTTGCCGAAAGGGGAGGAAACAGCCAGGCTATGAAGTGGGATGAGTACGGGGCTGAGAATGGGATGCAAGCTTAAGTCCCAGAGTGGAAACATGTTTGTGGTTTTGGGGGCTGTTCAGAATTAAGGGGACTGGCCCTAACTGGTCTGAGTTTTGGGTTGTTGTGCAGGGCATGGTCATGGTGAGCCCAGAAATGAACCCCACCATCTGCTCAGTGTTTGAAGCCGAGATCGTGCTGTTGTTCCATGCCACGACTTTCCGGAAGGGGTTTCAGGTGACAGTGCACGTGGGGAATGTGCGACAGACTGCTATAGTAGAGAAGATCCACGGAAAGGTAGGCATGCGAGGAAAGAGGAGAAAGATAGGCCTCCCTGTGGGGCTTGTTCGGATTCCACCATGCCCTCTAGTAAAGCTAGGGGCTACTGGTATCTGGAGTAGCTCTGTCCCTTCCTAGGAGCACGCTCCATCCCTTTATCCTGCCCATTTGGTTCATTTTCTTCCCAACATATTAAAGAATTCTCTCACAAAACAAGCCACATGATGGACTACAGCAAGACTGTGAAGGGAGGTGAACTCTCCATTCTCCACAGCTTGTGTCTTCCTGTCTCCCCTTATGCTTACAACAACAGGAAGGGGCCAAGCCATGCAGTCTGAGGGAGGCATCCTGCTCATTTGCCGCATTTTAGCATCCATACACATCTCTCTTGCATGCATTGGTATGGTAGATGGGTCTAAGCTCTCCCCTTTGTCTCTTCAGGACAAGCTGCGGACAGGAGAGAAGGCAGTTGTCCGTTTCAGGTTCATCAAGCATCCTGAATACTTGAAGATCGGAGCCAAGCTGCTTTTCCGTGAAGGAGTCACCAAAGGCATTGGGCACGTCACTGACCTCCAAGCCATCACCACCAAAGAAAATGGCCTGGAGGAGTCCTTGGGGCCTGGACAGTTGAGCTTCTGACTACCACTAGGTCAGAGAGATCTTCATTCACCAGCAACTGGGGAGAAGGATGGAAGCTCCCGTGGCTCTCTGAGTGATGCCTGGAGCTGCTGCTGTCCCATTCTGGCCTGGGCATCCCTCCTCCGCACTGTGAGATGGAGCTTGGGAGAGTTTCTTGCATTCAGTGCCATACATGGGGCAAGTTAAGCATGTTCTCCACATCGCCTGCAGCTTTCGTTACCCTGCCCTCCAGAACAGATCAGAGGCACCTGCAGACCTGGACGAGCAAGTTCTGGCTTTGTTTACTAGTTGAAAATTAGTGGTTGGGGGGAGCAAAACCCTTGAAGACTAACAGTGAAGGAGGATTTTTCCATCTCTGACAAAAGATCTGGTCCCGTTTCTGCTCTCTGAGCACTGGGTTGATAACAGTCCTCTCTTGAGTCATCCTGCAGCACATCCCTCTGGGCAGGGGATGGAAGAGGCCCTGCTACCCACAGCAGGGGCTTGGTTGAACCTCTCAAAATGCATTCAGGACACTTTTTAACCATTTTAATCTTGTTTGGCTTTAATCTGCTGTGTGTCCATTTGTGTGTTGGTTTTGCATTACTCCAATCTGAGTGTCTTACTATTGGACAAGTGTCCTGTTCCCCTCTCATGTGTACACACTCCTTCAGCATCCTGCTTTCTGACTCGTGGGAAGCTGCGACTGCTCCGAGTGGCACAGCCTCCCGACGTAACATCCTGAAGGCAGAGTTTGCTCTTGCATCCGTTCTTTGCAGGAGCTGGGCAGGAGGCCGTTCTGTGGAGTAGAGTGGGGCCGGAGCCTTGTGCTGGTGTGTGCAGGTTGTTTCCGTGGATGTTTGGCTGCAGGTGTCACTTGCGTGTCGGCAGCGGTGGTTTGCAGTGGGCTCCCTGGTGTGGCTATTCCAGGGCCCAGCCCAGCTTGTTCCTCACATGCTTGCCTTAACGTGTGAGGAGGACAGGCTGTGTTAATAACGCAGAACCAGCTGGCTTCTATTGTTTAGATGTGATTTGACAGTGGTGTGATTTTTTTTATTTCTGTTTCGCCTTGAGAAAGGCTTCTTTTTGTTCCCTTGCCACTGGGGTTGGTTGGCAGAGGAAAGCTGGTGTTGCCAGCGAGGACTCTGTGTGCAAAGAGCGGAGCACGTTTGTCTCCTGCTCGCTGTCGTGCAGCTCCCCTGTGCGACCGTTACTCCGGGCCACTCGCAGCCTGGAGGCTGCAGCAGGGGCTGTGTAGCTGTACATAGGCTTTTGGGTTTATTGTTGACTGTTAGACCAAACGTGTCAGCTGTGAGCAACGGGCCTTCTGCCAGCCCTGTTGCATGGCATGGTGGCCTGCCAGCCCTGACCAAAGGGAAGGGCGAAGGCTCGTGATAGCACTTGGACACCCAAACAGCACCTCTACCATGCTGAGAGCGAGTTTTGCTTCTGGGCCGCTGGCACAGGCAGTGCCTGCGGGGCTGAGTGGCCGGTGCTGATCTGTGGATGTCACAGAGCAGTGTTCAGGTGGGGAGGTGGTGGCTGCACCCTGCGAAGAGCCTGCTGAAGCATGGGGAAGCCAGTGGGACGGTGGTATGTACGAAGGGACTCAAGAGGCAGCTCGGTAGTGATAGGAGTGACCCGTCCCTTGAGGGAAGCACTGACCCAGGTGAAATTCTGCTTCTTCCCCATCAGCCCACCAGTGAGACAGGAGCTGCTGTCTCAGGGTCGCTGCTCAGGCAGGATCCCTCTTTCTGCACATCCTGATGGTGGTCGGGGTGTTACGATGACGTGGTCTTTCACCCATGCCTGCAGGAAGGACAGACCCAGCTGCCAGCAGGCTCTTCCCTTTGGTGCTAGTGGGTCACAAAGAAAGCTGCCTGGGGGGTGGGGGGGATTCCAGCTGTTTGCAGCAGCCCTGGTGTTTTCTGCCCCAAAACGGGCATGGGGTGCTGTGACATTGTGTGAAATAGCTGATGGCTGGTCTCACCTCATCCCTGCCATCTGTGGCATGACTGTTCTTGGTGCCATGCTCTTCATAATTACTGTTTTGTTGTCTTGAATTTTTCTAATGCTGGGGGTTGTCCCTGTTCTCCAAGCATCTATACATAAATGTACAGAATAAAGATGTTTTATTGAGTTTGCTGACTGAGTTGTACAATGAGCGAGGGTGGAGCTGGGCTCTTGCCCTGCTGCACTTGGAGCTGGGTCATGGTTGGAGATGGCAGCCCTTCACCCTTTCCTAAGCTTCCTGCATTCAGCCCTATAAATACCGTCCTGTGGTGTGGAAGGAATGCACGCACGCTGCTGTTTACAACTGTGCTCTGCCGGCTTATCTGAGCAAGCCTGGCCGTGCAGCCTGGGGTGACAGGCAGCCACGTCACCCTAAGCACAGCACTTCGGGCTGTTGTGGGCGGAACAGGCTGCGGCAAGTGCTTCCTTGCAGCCACAAATTCCCCTGGAGCCTAATTAAAGGGATGCTTTCTAGGGCACGCATCTAACTGGTGCTTTGTTTTTAAAATAGCCTTGACCTTATCAAGGGGTTTGCCACTGCCTTCTCTCTCTGAGAAGAGGTTGTCCCCTTGGGACAAGCAGAGGCAGAAAGGCTTCCCTGTGGAGGTGACTTGGGTCATTGAAGGGATTTGCCTGTTCTCAACTTGTTTTTGTGTCAGGTAGTGGCATCTGCAGGGTCCGGTCCTGCCAGACACTTAGGAAATGAGACGTGCTGCTGTCACAGGAGCGTGAGGCAACCCTGCCAGACTGGTTGCTATTTGTCTTTACGGGAGGACTTTGGGAAACTTGGCACTTTGCAATGTGAGGACTGTCATTAATGGGAGTGACTTCGTAATTCCTTCCTCTGCTGATTACCAGCAGGGCTGCATGCACCAGAATGAGCATCTTGTGCTTTCTGAAATCTCGCAACAACTGTGTTGTTGTCAAGAATGAGACTCCCACTGACAGTAACGTAGAAGCTTTCCAGAGCAAGCTGTCTGCTGGAAGGGGAGCAGCTCAACAGCTGGAGCAGCAGGGAAACACCACATGCAAATACGGCTGCACTTTGCATCATTATCTGCTGCCTGAAAGGCGCTCTGGGGAGGGGAAGCCTGCAGCTGATGAAACTCTCTGCAAAGTGTGTTTCCAACCCCACCCAGTGCTGCCTTGACGTGGCACCTTCCTTCCCCCTGCCCTGAGAGCCGAGTTCAAAGTGTTGGCAGCAGTGCTTCTGGAAGAGGCTGGCGGGCTCCAGGCAGCCAGTGGTGTAGCACAGAGCTGAGCCCTGCCAGGCAGCTGAGTTTTTTTTCCCCTGGAGCCAGTCTCGCCCTCTCTCAGTGCCCACTTGTCCCCTCCACGATATTCTGCTTTGTTGGCTCTGTTGCCATTTGTGGAGCGCCAGGCAGCCACTCTGATGGGAGCCACTCTGTTCAGCCCAGAGAGCTGAACAGGTCATTCAGCAGAGCACAATCAAAACAGGTACCTGTCATCAGGCTGTATGTAGTGTCACCACGTCTGGGAAGGAGGAAAAATGTGGTTATACGCTCTTTCTGCGATGGAGGAAAGCTTTCACAGAGGGTTAGAATCATAGAATCATCTGGTTGGAAGAGACCTTCAAGATCGAGTCCAACCATTCACCCTGCACTGTCAGGGTCCCTAAACCATATTGCTCAACACCAAATCTACACGGTTTTTAAACACCTCCAGGGATGGGGACTCCACCACCTCCCTGGGCAGCCTGTTCCACAACCCTCTCTAAAGAAATTTTTCCTGATATCTAACCTAAATTTTCCCTGGCGCAACTTGAGGCCATTCCCTCTCATCCTGTCGTTCATAATGTGGGAGAAGAGACTGATCCCCATCTCCCTACAACTTCCTTTCAGGTAACTGTAGAGAGCGATAAGATTGTGTGATTCTGGCATGTTTCCCCTCCCTTCTGTGAGGACTTTAGCAGTAGACTGTTTATATGTCAATAGCAATTATCAGGAACTGTGTTGAGATTTCAAAAAGCGCATCAAGCTTTCTGCTTGGTGCAGCTCCAGCTTCCCCAAATCTTATTTGACAGGAGCAGTCTTTCTTGTGCACTCTACAGCTGGTGATAAGCATCACGCAATGGACTGCTACACAGAGGGAGTTGCCAAACTGTCTATAACAAAAACCCTGATGGGAGAGAATAAAAATCAGTGTCTTCCAGGTGGAGAGAGGGGAGAAGGAACTACAGGGCTAAGCTACCATATGTAAGTTATACAGTAAGGGCAAGGCCTGCAACTGCAGCCAGAGGAGAACCACCATGAGGTGAAGGCTTCATATGAAGTGAGTGAATAGGGGTTCTAGGCTAGGCTTGGCTGGAGAGTTCCTGAGATAAGGCACTGTGCTTCCATTGCCTGCTTTTACTGTAGGAACAGAATTACTAAGCAATGATGCTATGGAAGCACCCATGGCAGGAGATACAGGTGAGAATACGATGCACCTTCTGGTAGCACCAAGCAGGCAGAGGCAGGCTAACTGCCACCAGCAATTCACAAATTCCAGTTCCTCTTAGACTTGGGGTAGAGATAATTTATTAGACTTTTCTGCATTAAAAAGCGACAGGCAATATAAAAACTTTTAACTGTATTTAAAAACACTGGTTCTTTAAAAACACTGATTATCTAAAAGCTCCCAGTGTAGCTGGGAGTTAAGGAGGTAATGGCTTAAAGAAAAAATCTAAAGTTCTTGTGACACCTTCTCTGGGTCGTTTTGCACTAGATCCCGCTGGAGTTTTGGGCTTGTTCTTTGCCTTGGCAGGAGACCTGGAAGCAGCAGCCTTTGAGCTGGGAACTGCTGCTGGAGCCACAGGAGCGCTAGGCTCCAGGAAGGAGCTTTGCAGCTCCAGAGCAAAGTGGTAGTCCATGTGCTCTGGGAACTCCCACACCAGCACAAGCTGGCCACACTTCTCACAGTGCTGCTGGTCCCCTGGTGAGGTAGGAGGGAGCAGGGCGAGCTCAGGAGAGGGTGGCAAATTCTGCTCGTTTCCCTCCACAGCTTTG